AGAGAGAGAGAGAGAGAGAGAGAGAGAGAGAGAGAGAGAGAGAGAGAGAGAGAGAGAGATTTATGCCGGATAATGGTATTCTCGCTGTGTCTTGCCATATGAATTGTCGGTTTTTTAGAGATAGGATAGTAGTCGAATTTAGAATATCATTTACGTGTGTCATCTTGAGATCCCACTATCATCTTCTTTCTCTTCGGTCACTGTTGTCAGTCACATTGTCTCGTCGGTCAGCAACGAGTTTTCTTTTTTGGATACTTTTTTCTTTCCCAGACTGCGTCAAAAAGACGCAGACTTACGCGAACTTAATTATTTAAAAAATTACATGATAACTTTTTGATGTTGATTTTTATCTTTTTTTACTCGAAAATTTTAATCAATATTATAGGACCATCGTTGTTATAAACAAAATTTGACATTATGATAGAATATATCTTAACTTTATTGCTTTTATATTTTATACGAAATATTAGTATATTATTAAAGATAATATTAAAAGATAATATTAAAATCTATATTAAAAAGTCAAATTCTACAAATGTATAATCATATTTTTGTTGAAAATAATTATGTCAATTTTAAATTATGTTCCAGTTCTTTAATTAAATTGACTGAGGAACAATTTCATTACAGTTTAACGATTGTCTATTTGTTTTCAAGTTCAGTTACTATAACATTTTGATTTTATTGAATCATCACATTTATGGTTGAATAAAACCGTACAACTTTTATTTAAATAATTTTTTCTATCTTTTAAACTTCTGATATTCGTTTCGAATGAAAAATATCGTTTTTTTTCAAAGAGATGTTTCACTCTTTAAACATGAGTTAGCGCACGTATAAAAGAATATATGTCTCTTAGATTTTTGTGTTTTACAATATATTTCATGGAGAATCAAATCGTTTTCAGATAGTTATGAAACTTTTCTTGTAAGTAACATTCATGGTAACGCACTTTTGAAATAACGATAACGATTTTACTAGTTTCTTTTATCGTTATTTTCTTTCTAACTACTTAAAAGTTTAGTTGTAACTGTAGCTCTAGAAAACAGAAATGAAATATTAACGATCTGATTGGCTATCTAAATCACGCGATCACAACGGCTTTTTTTCATTCACAGTTCACACGTATACATAAATTAACTTTCTATAATATATAGTGACACGAGATCACGTGAGATTCTATGTTAATAAATATTCTTGTGGAAAAAAGATTATATGATATAATCTTTACAATATATTTAATTTCTTAAAATAAAATTTTTTTTGTATCATATCTCACAAGTTAAATATATGTTTATAATGCAGATTACAAACAATATTATTTTTTTATTATAATATAATTTTACTCTTAGGGTATTCACGATGAGTCATTCGTATCTTGTTTCTTTTCTTAGAAATACTGCGCCTGGTTAAATAATTCTTTTTTTTATCCTTTCCTTCTTTTTAAATATTAATTACAACTTCATAAATGTTTTTTAAAGATGTAACTTCGTTTCTAAAATTTTTATTGTGCGCAAAAGTATTTGTAGGCAATCAAGCTGTACGCAATAATAAATATAAGCAATCGAACTGTACGCAAAAGTGATATAGGCAAACGATATTATAGGCAAACGATACTGTAGGCAATCGATTTTTTTTTTTAGGTAAATGCAATTATATTAAAATTTATAACAAGATTACAAACCATAGAGAAAATCCTGTTTAAACACAATTAGTTTTAGCAAGTACAAATCTAAATGCGGATTCTTTGTAGATAAAAACGAGTATTGCATTGCTCGTCGCAAACAGATGTTATAGCGTCTCAGTAGGACGTTGACCCATATTCCGAAGTGCGTTCGACTCGGAGTATTCATCTCTGTGCGGGTACCTGAGAATCTAAGCGTCCTTCCTAATACCCTCTTTAACATGATAAAGTATGGTACTACAAAATTCGGAAAAATTCTTGAAAGAAAGAACTTGAAAAGAAAATAAACAATTTTTGCCATTTGATGTTTTTTTTTGTAAAGTTGATTGTTTTTTTGTATAGTATTGTACAGTGTAGTCATTTGAAGTAGGCTGTCTCAAAGTCTGCAAAATACTCATTGACGGCGACAAATGACTTCTTCATTTGACGAGAATTTCTTCCCACCGAGCCAAGTTTTTAAGTTTGGGAACAGAAAGAAGTCACACGGGGCCAAATCCGGAGAATAGGGTGGATGAGGAATCAATTCATAGCCCAATTCGTAGTTTTGTCATTGCAACGGTCGACTTGTGGGACGGCGCGTTGTCTTGATGGAAGAGACTTTTTTGCGCGCCAATCTCGCTTCAAATGACAACCAAACGTGAACTATGCGTCCTTTCTGGCTGAAATTTGGCCTGAAGGGGTTCGAAGAGTGGATCTTTCGAGATGTCGCGTCATCAAATGAATTGTAGCGCCATTTCATGGAAATTTACCAAACTTATCAAACGACCCACATATAACCTGAACTTAAATATATTTTGCTTTACTACTGTAATTTTTATGGATAGGCTAGAAGAAAACTTTTGTAAAATTATTATATCTTCCAAAAAAAAATTAATTATTATATTCTATAATTAAAATATGAATATCCAAAAAAAATATTTCTACATAAATCACGAAAATAAGTATGAAAAAAAGTATTAATAATGTGATAAAAAGTTTAATAATGTAATAGACAAAAACTAATCAGCTTTAAATTGAAAATTGTTGCAAGAATATCCGTCTGATTCAAAATATAATTTTTACGTATGTTTAGAAATATTTAATATTATCAAAAGCTTACATAGATTAACATTATAAATTATATTTGAAAGTTTTAAGTCTATATGTTTATACAGATAAGATGAATAAACTTTAGATGAATAAACTGGAAGTAATATAAAGTTCTTTTTTACGTAAAGAAATATTTCATGTAATTGTGAACCGTGCATAAAATGTATGCACTCATTATTTTAAAAGAAGTTTGTTAAGAAGTTAATTTAATGCTAAAATGTTTATATACAATTCATAAGAACTCCAAATGATGATAATAATATTGACATTGGTGACTATATAATATTGACATTGATGACTATACTATGCAATTATGCAGAATTATTATTTCGAGTATATTCGCGCTATAATTAACTGGCATTACAGTTGGAAAAATAACGAATTATTGTGTATATATATCATGTCATATATATACATATATAGATGATAAATATTTCAGTGAATATCATTCTAACAATAATATCGTATAATACAATCGGCTATTTTCATCAGGATCCATATCGACTAAAACAGAGTTAAATTATCGACTTCGTGTTCCTTATCACGCGTTTATAACTTCTATAAATTTAATATTTAATAATGTTTTGCAAATGCTTACGAGACAGGTTCGTAGAAGCATCGCTATATGCTCAGTGCTACTTTGTAGAGAAGTATATAGCACAACGTCAATCTGGAGGCACTGATAGTGTCTCGGCGCTAAGGTATCAAAATACATGTGAATATTTGGATTTGTAATTAGTTGTATATGATGTTCAAACGATCGTAATTAATTTGGATACAAAGCAATTGGATAGATCGATAAAATAAAATGGACGCCTCTTAAATTATTTATTTATAAATGGTTTATGCGTGAAACATTTTAGTAAAAAAAGTATATTTAAAGTATACAAATTAAAAAAATCTTTATATGCAAATGTTTTGAAAAAAAAAATATTAAGAAGATTGAACTGAAAATTTCCTAAAGGAAATACTTATAAATTACGAAACAGAAGGTAATATGGATAAATTGACAAGACTTAATGAAAAGAAGTAAACATTAACTAGAATTAAAAAATTATGAAAGAAGATAGTCATTGCAAAAATGTCTTCGATTAAGAATTCAACTTTCATGGACGTCAATAAAATCTCAAATTCCTTTAGAAATATAAATAAAGAGAATTCTATTGCAGAAAAAAATAGTGAACAGAAAGAGAACAAAATAAAATCAGAACTACATCAAGATTTATTTTGGACGTTCAGAATATTGATAGTGTTCTTCAAGCTTATCGGTCTCGCTACATTCGTCCACCGAATCGTCATATACAAAAAGAGAACGTTATACACATTTCAATATTCCAAATTAGGAATCGTTTACAATGTTGTACTGAGTAGCTTAATGATAGCTTCGAACTATATGTCTATACCATACAGAATTAATGATGATTACGCTGAGAAGAATTTGACTGTAGGCATCAAGATTCTGCAAACTGTACTTGGTACCCTGGTGATTTGCGTGACTTTGATTAGCTACTGCATCAACCAGAAGTCCTTGGTGCGGATCGCCAATCAATTGATCACCGTCGAGGACGAAATAGATCGTATATATGATCTATATTATCCGCTACAACGACAGCGTATCTTCTACACTATAATGATCGTTTGCGTCTTGAAGATTAACCTGCTGATACTTCTCCTGTTCACTGAGATCCTGGTCTTCCATACGGGTCCAGTCTCATGGCTGACAGACGTTTTGCCAACATTTCACGTGGGTTGGCTATTCATACAGTACTTCCTATTGGTGACGATCATTCAGACAGATTTCGCTGATGTGAATCGAGCGATACAAAGTCTCATCAGAATCAATACATCTGATCTTCAACTGCAATCTCTCTATCGAACACATATCATAGTCAACAATTCGACCATTCATCAACTGTTGCAATTGCGAAATGTGCATTGCCATCTCTGTAAAATCACTGAGGATGTGTCGAGTTTCTATTCACTACCACTACTATTCGGCATTGTTTTTTTCTTTCTGACACTCATATATTCTGGTTACTTTTTTTTCTCGTTTCTGTTGACTGATGATATCTTAAATTATTCTTATAATATTGGTGTCATCATCTGGATAATATTTCTGATTTATCCCATCTATCTCCTCACCAGTAAAATTACGAGGATTTTAATCGAGGTAGAATAATCAATATAATAAGATTTTAATCGCATTTTAATCAGATTGTTTTAATCGAGGAAACAAAATATTTTTATCAGTAAATAAAATCCCAAATATTTTAACGAAATATTTCCCAAATATTACGAAATATTACAAATTTATTGTAGATGAAGAAAACGGGTAATATAGTGCATGATCTTTTAAATTGTGCAATCGGGAAAGAGATAAAAGCAGAGGTAAAAAACAAAATTAAAACTTTTTCAGAAACGGTATTCATCGTAACGACATTTATCATAAATATGTTACAGCTCAAGAAATTTTCGTTTCAATTGCTACATCGCAAAATACAGTTTACAGCTAACGGATATTTTATGCTCGATAATACTTTTCTTCATTCGGTAAGAATATTAAAAATATCATGTAAGTAATTTAATAAATTAAATTTTTTAAATTAATAATTTTGATTATCTTTCTCAGCTAATTGGCACAGTGGTGACATATTTGATAATATTTGTGCAATTTCAAATGGAAAGCTCACGTTCATCAATCAGACAGCAATGTAACTATACAGAGAGAGATTTAAAAGAAGCGGAATAATAAATCAAAGATAAGAAAAAATATAATGAGAAATATCACAACATCTTAAATTGGGATCTAAAATCCAATTAAATGTAATTAATAATCACGCAGAATTGCAGTTCTGAAACTTCTTATTGTAACTTCCTAATCAGTTCTGATTTATAAAACTAGAAAACAAAAAATGGAAATATATTATATTTAAATTAATATTGTTAATTAATTAATTTATTTAACAATTAAATTAAATAAGGCTCGAATAGAATAAATCAATTAATATTATTATATTAATTTTACTTAAGTAAAAAATTATTGAAAACCAATATTCAGCGATTTTTAGTAATTAATATATTATTAACTATTGCGAAAATTGCAAAATGGACTTTTTAACTCAATTTGGTTCTCTCTATATCAGCACATGAAATATTTGGCAATTAGAATACCCTATATAGGCACACATATTGCAACATATGTATTTTGTAATGGGAAAGTAAATCTTTCAGTTTTAATTGCACATTATTTATTTAAAGTAAGGCAATATGATTAAAGACACAATGATAGGCATTAGCTACTTTCCTTATCAACTTGAAAATTAATTATTGAGACGCAGTTTTTTCTACCTAATCACAATCATTTAATATTACATCGGCGGTATAGCCTATTCATTTTCGCGAATTTCGTCATATTTCGATGCATGAAACCGTAATCTTCGAAGATCACTGGGGGAAAGTATATTTCCCCTAATTAACTCATTGAAGACCACCGTTGAAACACATTAGCATACATATCATACATGATTTTTATTAGATTATTCTTAGGAGCCGTCCATATATTACATAAGCAAATTTATGGCCATTTTTAATCCCCTCTTTCTTTCATGTAAATAAGTGTAAGAATTTTTGAAGGCCCCCCACTACTTTTAATTACGTAAGATTTTTCATGCCATGCAAAAAAAGTCTAATTTGCTGATGTCATTGACAGTTTTGACTTGACTTTTTTGTCATATTAAAACTAATTGCAACGCAATAATACGTTTTTTTCAACATTATTAAACGAATCATACGATTTCATTGAAAAAATTGTGCCAAAACGAACTATTATTAATAATGTCAGCAAATTAAGTATATTTTTAATCTAAAATATATTGTGAGACAATAAATATATAAATACAATATGTTGTTGGCAAAATTAATATTTTCTTTTATATTACTGTATAATTTTTTTCCTTAATGCTGAATTGCACTTTTTGCATTACATTAAATTGGTTTAATACAATAGATTAAAACAACCTTCTTAGCAAACATCATGTTACATGTAAGTTGTAATTTCCCATTCAACAATATAACTGTATAATATATCTATGTCACTGCATCATGAACAGATTCAAAACTTTTTTGCAAATAATATTCATCGTTTTTTCAGCAGCAAATAAAAATGTTTCATATAGGGATATGTACGATTCCTTCTTCCCCTCTCCTCCTCATGTAAGCATTCGTATTACTCTCCCTTTCCTAATTATGCTTACGTAATATATGGATGGCCCCTTATATTATATATTATATTCACAACTGAATTTTGTTATTTGCACATTTATTTTCGCACCTAAGATTGCAGCATGCCTTCCCTTTTCTTTCGTATTTGTCTCATTACGATACAATACTTTGGGCTCCAAATTTATTATTTTATACTGAGTTAATATTATCTAATCTTCGCCTAATAAATAAATTTTATGTAAGATTTTAAATGACTCATATACACAGGGTTACGCATTCTTTACGTAAAAATATATTTAAAAGTACGCACAACAATATTTTCCAGTGCGATATAAATATTTCATATTATTTTAACCAAGGATAGGAAGAACACATTAAGTGGCCCATTCTATTATAGGAATCGGAGAAGGTTGTAGGGTCTAGAAAATTGACCAATCGATTATTCTTCTCATATTTGACTGTGTTGGTCAATTTCCTATGACTTAAGACTCTATGACCGTCTGCGACTCTTATTGATAGATCTCGCATTACTGTTATTTTTTATAGTAATTTTGTATTTAATAATATTCTTGAGACTTCCTTGCTATATAAAGATTATGCGTTTCGTGGGATTTTTCCGTGATCCATTCTTGGCATGTCATCGTTTCGTGAACCTTGCAGTTCACTTCGTCAGGACAAGGAGCACCTTGATGTATTTACTTTACAATTTCTTTTTCATGACAGATAATGATAATGCTAAAGAAAGTTACTTTTGAAGAATAACTTGTTACCATTATGCGTTTCTGATAAATTAACTTATTACTTCACACATGTATAAAAGTATTTATGTCATCATTATTTTATGTGGTCACGCAACTTATTAGTAATGAGTTTACATACGACTTATCCAATTCTGATGTTGTCATTACCATCATAAAAAATTGTAAAATCATTATCAAATTGTTATTATAGGAAAAGTACAGGTAACGGTATTACAAGTTTATTTTCTATTCCTGGTTTAATTATAGATCTTCAACTTTCTTATGAGTTAAATACATATACTGTAAAAACGTAATCTTTTTTATTCCATGATATTAAAATATATTTTCTCAAACTACTTATTAGCAAAAAAATGGCTATATAAAATTACATACAATGAGAATATTTTGCCTAATTATTCAGTTTCCTAAAAATTTCATATAAATATTGACGCGATAAATTATTCCATTTTAATAATTAACTGAATTAAGTAGTCAAATTTTTAGAAATGAAATTCTTAATCATCGATGTGTCGCAGATCGTTTGAGAAAAGATTTTTTTCTATACATTCTGGATCCGTACAAGTTACTTGTTAATGCAAATATTCAATCGAAAAACTTCAAAATTATTTATCTCTGTTATGTTATATAAGTTTAATATAAAAGTTTAATATAAAAAATGGATTATAATTTAATAAATTATTTTTTGTTATAAATTACATTAAAAAATAATTTCTTTTAAGAACAGCATATACTTATAAGAATTTTCATTTAATTAATTTAAATAATAAACTTATTCTTAACAAACGACTGTTTAATTATTTAACAGAATATCTTAATTGCTATTTAGGAAATAGTTCATAGTTAAATAATCATCTAATAAATATTATCTATCGCTGATTTTTTCATTAAGAATTCCATTAAGGAAATTTCCGTAAGGTATTACATTTGCTTTTAATGATTGATACTTTCCTTGAATCGTATTAAATTTACCTGAAATATCGAAGTGAAGTGTATATTAATTCTTTTTAAGTTAATCTTTACGACTTTTTTAAATAAATTTCTTTCAATAATCTCCCTTATATGCTTTTCCTTAAAAAAGGGGGCAAAGTGTAGAAGATTGAATTTCGTTTATTGATTATAAATTATCTAAGAATTTATAAAATTTACATATTAGACGTTATATAAATAGAAAGAAACATACAAATATTTTATATGCAACATGTATACATTGTATGTATATATTTTATATGCATAATATATGTTACATTTGTATATATATTCACAGGTTGTCTCTAAAGCCGGCGGCACACCATACTTTTTGCATATTACCATATTGTGCCAGCACTGCAGCTAATACAAGCAAGTACGCGAATCCAGCTAGCAATTCGGCAGGAAAGAATGCATCATCTGCCACCGGCCACATGACCACTTCTTATGTCCTTCTACAAAAAATTTGTTTAGACAAATGTTAAATGATTTATCGAAGCACAAATAAATAAAGACCAAATAGATTTTTCATTATCAGTTGAAAGTTATGGCAATTTTTTAAGTGGAATTATATTATTTCTTTGTATAATATTTTTTCTAATTATACTATATGTAAAAGGTAGAGATATTGAAAAATCTTAAAAATCATTGATTTACGAGATATTTTGTATTTTATTCTAGCACATTTTGATATAAAATATAAATGTCTTTTAATAAACAATTAATTTTTTGACAATCATACCTTAATACCCAGCCAGAAATGATAATGCAATTGATGTCGATTAATAATACGTCATTATGTAATTATTAATTAATAGAACGAGGACTTAGGTAGATGCGAAGCTTTGTGGAGAATGTGTGAGAATAAATAGTGAATTAATATAGAACAATAAGAAACGCGAATTTCTAGCTATCATTTTATAAACCTTGATAATTTTCAAGAGAGATATTTTGAGAAATTATATTTAAAAAACCTAAATTATATTTATAAAACCATTATTAGAAAGATCTAATGTAAATATATAATTTATGTGTATTTGCATTAAAACAGATAACTAGAATAGATAATTCACGAGTATATACAGGATGTTTGATAAGTAACGATGAAATTCTCGCATAGGGGTAGAGCGGACTGAACTGATCGAAAAATCCTCTACCATTTTGTAATTTTCCCAATAACAAGATATTAATTTCTAAAATCACCGAATATTGGTTTTTAATAATTTTTTATTCAAATACGATTAACTTTATAGAAAAAGCAACAGAAAAATTGTTTATTTTCTTCTCATAGAGCTCTAAGAATTTTTTCAGAATTTTTCGTCAATTTTTTAGTACTGCATTTTCATATA